ATTCAACCAGAACCCTAACCAGAACCAAAACTATACAACAAGAAATCACCTAAACTACCCAACCAGAACCTCAACCAAAACCTATCACTATACAACCAGAAATCACCCAAACCACCCAACCAGAACCTCAACCGAAAATGCCCTCATACAACCAGAAACCACCCAAACAGAACCCATCCAACCAGAACTATCACCCATACCAACAGTGCTTACCGTCATCCCTTCCTTCCCAAGGTAGCCTCCATCCATTCACAGGGTACAAGAAGTCATCACCTAAATGGAAACATTATGTAGACGTCTAGAGGTGCTACTTAGAGAACCCATAATGATGGAGAATATTCATAAATATCTCTACCATGATCATGATGAACATATAGTCTTAAATCCTCCAAACCTATCCCCCGAATCCATGAACTTGATCAGGCACCGGTTCGTGAGACAACACACTCAACCGTCAAACATCGTCTTTCAAACGAAGGAATAAATACGGTCCATGATATCAAGCTTTGGACTTTTGCTAACAAATCCATCAAGTACATTAGTGTTTTCAATGACAACGACATGATAAACCTTAACCCATAGGACTTGATAGATCTATATGGATACACTACTCAATGAGAGGATCGCAGGATAAGGTATGGGATGGCTGAGAGGGTGATCATAGAGACGATGGGGACTCTAGTCAAGTTTAGAGCAAAGAATGATTTTCATATAGTGCTTGAACTTGGCATCAAAAGACTTTTTTGCACAACTCCAAATGAAGACTTTCTTGGACTGCAGGAGAAGCGCTCTGCCGCTGTCTTCACTCAACTAGAATTGGGCTTAGTTTTCAAGAACGAATTTGGCACCAAGAAGTTCTTCCGTTTGACTGAGGCCTTCAAGTATTCAACTGATATGCTTGAATGGTTTCAGAAGATCATTCCAAGAAAGACTAAGCAGAAACTATGTGCCAAGGAGAAAAGGAACATAGCTAATTCATGGGGTCTTTACAGTCATAAGATATAGAAGACCGATGATGCGCTTTTGGAAAATTTTCAATGGAGACCATGGATGACATGTAATTTTTCTATCCCTTTTACTTTGGTACTGTATGAAACAATCGTATTAATGAAAATGAAATATTTTTGACAAAAAGGATGTTTCCTTTAGTATAGCTTATTGTGCATAGATAGCTATTTGTTTGTCGTTCATAGATAGTTTTTTTTTTGATTACTTAGGGGGAGATTATTAAAGCCCATCACTCTCATATGTAACAGTAATGAAAAATGTACTAAGTATGGAACTCTGGAAACCCGATGGAAGGAGTTGAAAAGATTCTAAGTGCTGAAGACAAACTAGAGATGCAATGAAGATCTAGAGAGGTTATGAAGACCTGAAGTAGTTAACCTGATAATCATTCACTTATGAAGAGTTCATCAGGTCGATGAACTTAGCCTTTCCATAACCCCTCTGGTTTTACAGCAACTGAAGAATCTTCAAGTGTCAAACATTGTTTGATCACATATACTCTAGCAAGTATATACATGAAGAATCATGATTGTACACACTACCTGAAGACGGTCGGAGATGACTCATCGCCAGCATGAATTCGGTTATTCTAGGTAGTTAGAGATAACCTCCATCTTTCTAGATAAATATATTCTCCTCGTTTATCTCATACATATCTCATACTAGATTGTTATCTCTTAGACTAGATTGCTAGTATAAATAACATTCATATGTCTTGAGAAAGGTTGACACCTTCTCATTATTGTTACTATAGTGAAATCATTTGAAAGCTTCATAGGTTCTTGAATTTCATTCAAGTTGTTCATCACTTTCTTCATCCAAGCGATAGATTTAGGTTCTTTTACTTCAATCTTCGTGTTAAATTGAGAGATCTAGGATCGACATCAACATATGCTCCAATCGTTTGTGTCCTAATAGTTGTATCAGGTGCTAGATTCGATGTGCACACAAATGATGTCGTAGACTGGGGCAATGGTCTACTTATTTCAATGTCCACACTCTCCGAGTGAGAGATGGATAACATATGTGGTTCATCCCCATGACTTAATGAAAGTTACACCTGCTGAGAGGTGCTAGAGTGGATGGGAGGGGTGTGCATTTGCGTAGCTGGGTCCATTACGGCTTGTTCAATACCGGATCCCAATGGATGAGATCCGATAGTAGATCAAATACATATACGCATAGATAAATTTATTTCAATAAAAACATATAAATTTGAATATTAAGCCATTCGGATTAAATAGAATAACAAAAAAAGATAAACATTAATTCTAAATATAAAAAATCATGATTTTATTTTATGAAAAATCGTATGGAAAAGTAATACCTGGATACTCGAGCAATATATACTCGGAAAATATTAATTTTACTCATATATATAGAGAGATAAAGAAAGAGATAGAGAGAATCAATATATGGATACTCTGGATCCTTGTTGAGAGAGAGTGGAGGAGCCATAGGAGTCTTCATAGATGAGCTGTTAGAGAGATCAAACTTTTTGAGATTCAACTGATGATATCCATTCTTTGTAAAAGAAATTCCAAGATTGATGCGACGTTATTGATGATTTGTACTTTCTCAAAATACTTTGATAAATATGCCATCTACAAAGTCGTTGTTTAGCATTGGAAAATACATCATTATATGCTTTTATCAACGCCAACTCTCGATCTGTCACGATAACATGCGGGGGATGCACATCCGTCCATTGTCTTTTTGAGACAATTCAATGCCCATGTATAGTTGGATTCTTTTTCTTTATGCGTAAAAACAATGCTATGCAAAGAGTCATATTAGTTGATATTACATTAACAATCTCAAGGAGGGGCATCTTATATCTGTTCGTTTTATACGTGGCATCCATCAACAACACGTGTGGAAATGCACGCCACAACGTCAATGATATTGGATGAATGAAAAATAAATCTTCCAACTGATTAGAGTTATTTACACGCGCCTCATGTATGTAGCCTTCTTCCTACAAAAATGAGATGACAACTTGCATTTGAGTTCTACCTTCATGTTCGGTCGCCCAAAATTTTTGATGTGCATTGTATATTATTTTGAGTGTAGACACGTTATCTGGAATCTTCTCCTTCAATGAAATTATTATTTGAATATTCAAAAACTTAAATAAGAATCGATTAGTTATTTTTTAAGTTTTAAAGTCGGAAAAAGATGATGGATTATTTTCTGAATTTTTAAAGTTGCCAAAGGATTAATGATATATTTTATAAAAATATAGATAAAATGAAAATTAAGAATTTGCATATGAATATTTAAAGTTTTTATTTGATTTTTATAAGGACAAACTATACGACTATATACATATGCAGGGGCAGATGCATGTTGAAGGCATTGGGGTCCTGGGCCCCAACAAAATAAATTTTAGAAACCCATGATTTTTTTTACTTATAGTTTTTAACTTAATATGATTAGTCCCCCAATAAGATAATCATGAAGGCCCCCACTACCATATAGCCTTCCATTTCCTTTCCTGACTTCACACAGTTCACGGTCTTCACGACTTCACCTGCTGGCGCACACGGACACGACACATCGACCATCGCTACCTCCGCTCGTCGGCACTCGACGCGGCTCATCGCTGCTTGCTTCCTCTTCACTTCCTGTCTTCCTCCTTCCCTCTTCGGATCTTCATCTTCCTGTTCAGATGCTTCTTCCTTCCTGGATAGTGGACATTGAAGCAACCAGGGGCGGATGCATGTTGAAGGCATTGGGGTCCTGGGCCCCCAACAAAATAAATTTTAGAACCCACGTTTTTTTTACTTAGAGTTTTTAACTTAATATGATTGGCCCCCCAATAAGATAATCATGAAGTCCCCCACTACCATTTAGCCTTCCATTTCCTTTCCTAACTTCACACAGTTCACGGTCTTCACGACTTCACTTGCTAACGCACACAGACACGACACATCGGCTATCGCTACCTCCACTCGTCGGCGCTCGACGCGGCCCATCGTTGTTTGCTTCTTCTTCACTTCCTGTCTTCCTCCTTCCCTCTTCGGATCTTCATCTTCCTACTTGGCCGCTTCTTCCTTCCTGGACAGTGGACATTGAAGCAATTGTTTTTTTTCCTACCTCCTACAACTACTCCAATTCGGGTAATAATTTTGATTTCCAAATTCCAATATTTAGTTTTTATTGACTTTGATTTTGTTGTTTGCTTCACAATTGGTGATTTGGTAAATGCTTTATGTTAGGTTAATTTTGCAATTTTGTAGGCAAATGGAAATGTTAGGTTAATTTTGCAATTTTGTAGGCAAATGAAAATGTTACTATTGATAAAGATAAACCATTGATTTTTGTCTTGTTATTGTTATTGCTAAAAAAAATGGAAAGATTTTTTAAAAGTGAAGCATCAACACCTGAATCGAGCTCTGATCCTTCGATGCCCTACGAAATTGATTTGAACGATCTTCCTTGGGATCTAGCCGATAGGAAAAAGATTTCGGAATATCATCCTAATCAAAGGGATGAAATAAGGAGAAAATACTTGCTTAGAGGACCTTGTCAACCACGGGGTCATGCATTTCCAAAAAAATTTGTCAGGAGTAAATGAAGACATTTTTGTCTGGCTTGGTTTGATCAATACGCTAATTGGTTGGAGTATAGTGTAAAAACGGATAGAGCTTTTTGTTTGTGCTGTTATTTGTTTAGAGATCATTACGTAGGACAATGTGGGAATGATGCTTTTGTAACAGATGGCGTTAATAGTTGGAATAAAACGGAAAGACTTGGTCTTTATATTGGCGACATTAATAGTTTTCACAATAGAGCACTTAAGAAAAGTGAGGATCTAATGAGCCAAGATCGATCTATTGCCGTTGCCTTTCATAAGCAAACTGAGAAGGAGAAGAATGAGCACCGAATACGATAAATGCTTCAGTTAAGGTCTGTAGATTCTTGTTGAAGAATGCATTGCCCTTTCGTGGTCACGATGAATCTGAAAAAATGCTTCAAAGAATAATCAAATGGTGTCTCCAAGTATTCAAAAATATATTGCTGCTTGTTTTGCAAATCAAATACTCAAATCCATTYGTAAAGAAGTTGGTGATGATGTGTTCTCATTGCTAGTTGATGAGTCTAGTGACGTTTCTAAGAAGGAACAAATGGCGGTGGTTTTACAATATGTTGATGTACGTGGTATTGTTAAGGAGAGATTTTTTGGTATTGTTCATGTGACGGGGACATCTTCTTCAATTCTTAAATCTGCCATTGATACTTTATTTGCTGAACATGCATTGAGTTTGAAACGAGTAAAATGGCAAGGTTATGATGGAGCAAGCAATATGCGCGGTGAGTTCAATGGATTAAAGGCCTTGATCTTGAATAAAAATAGCTCGGCATATTATATCCATTGTTTTGCTCTCCAACTTCAATTAGTTGTTGTAGCGGTTGCAAATAAACATGACAGAGTTGAGAACTTTTTTAATATGTTAGGAATGGTGATCAATGTGGTGAATGCTTCTTGCAAGCGTAAAGACATGTTTCGACAAAGTTACAAAGATAAAGTGCAAGAAACAATTGGAAAGTGTGAAATTGAAACTGGAACAGAGAAATACCAAGAGCTTTCTCTTATACAGCCAGAGATACACGGTGGGGTTCTCATTACAAAACCATTTTGAGCTTGATTGCTTTGTTTCCGAATGTTGTTGAAGTGCTCCAGTATGTTGAAGAGGACGGGGATAATGGTTTTAGTCGCACTCAAGCAACTGGTATTTTAACATATTTGAAGACATTTGATTTCGTGATTTATTTGCATTTGATGTTTCATATTTTAGAGGTCACAGACTTGTTGTCACGGGCTCTTCAAAAAAAAGGATCAAGATATTTTGGAAGCGGTTTCATTGATAAGAGGAACCAAACAACTATTGCAACAATTTAGAGAAACTAGTTTTGATCCACTTTTGAAGAACATGTATTCTTTTTGTGAAGCAAATGGTATTAAAGCTTTGGATATGGAAGACCGTTATTCAAAAAACGAAAGACAAATGACCAACATCACCAATCGTCATTATTACAAATTTGATATGTTCAACACTATTTGTGGACATGCAAATTCAAGAGTTTGGGGATCGATTTAGTGAGGTAAGTACTGAATTGCTTAAAAATATAGCAGCTTTGAGTCCATGTGATTTATTTTCACAGTTCAATGTATCAGATTTATTGAAGTTGAGTAAGTTGTATCATCAAGATTTTAGTCATATGAAAATTATCGCTCTTGAGAAACAACTTAACATGTACTATTTGATTGTGCGTCAAGATGAAAGATTTGCCGATTTGAGTGGTATTGCCGAGCTCGCTAGATTGCTAGTGGAAACAAAAAAAATAAAACTTATCCTCTAGTATATCGGTTATTGAAAGTAGCTTTAATTTTGCCAGTTGCTACCGTAACAGTCGAAAGATGTTTTTCTGCTATGAAGATTGTGAAGTCAGATTTGCGCAACAAAATCGGTRATGAATTTTTGAATGCTGCAATGATATGTACTATAGAAAAAGAAGCACTTCTCACAGTTTCAAATGATGATGTAATTACTCAATTCCAAAAGATGAAGAGTCGTATGGCACACTTGTAAGAGGTAATTTTTTTTATCATTTTTGTATAAAATTGAAGTTAGTTATTATTTTATCTTATATCATGCCTCCTATAATATATTTTTGCGTCACTCTACATATGATTAAAATTTGTAAAATTATAAATTAAATAAAATATTATTTTTTATAAATAAGAAGGCTTATTGTCTTTTCAATTTATTGGTTTTAAATATGATTAATATATAATAAAAATAAAAATTATAATTATTACCTATAGATCGTTCCTCCATAGAAAGGTGACGGTTGCTGTGGAGGAAAATGGCTCAACTCAGCACCCACTTGGATGCTTCAACTACGCTAACCGCTTATATCTTGTCAGAAGGAAACCCTACACCATCTTCAATATCATCAATTTCAAATTCACAGCCACCTTTAGTAAGCTTTTCGAAATTAACATTCAATTGTGGCTTCTCAAATTTGGAAAGCAGATCGAAAAAGGATGATTTTTCCATTTCTCAATTACTTATCTATGCAAATTCGTTGAACGATTCATCGACGATTGATGTGATTTGATCTGATCATCGGTGAGTTCTGCCAAGTCTGTGCTTCTTTCTCCTGTTTCTTTCTATTCTCTGATTGACCTTCAATGTATACTATCTATTTATTGTTGATCACATGATTCACATATTGTTGTTTTGGTGCACATATATTCCTCATCATCTTGCCTTGAATGAATCATAAATTGACGCCACTTGTTGGCGACTTTCACTTTCAACCCGATTCACGGCTTGTCCTTTACCGCCAGTCATTCTGAAGAACACGGAGTCCATCGTTTTTTTTTTGAAGATTTAAAACACGGAGTCCATCGTTTTTTTTAAGATTTAAACACGGGTAACATAAGGGCCGTCCTTGGGGCTGTTAAATCTGTCATTCAGAACAGGGCCCCAATAATTTGGGGCCGAAAATTTACAGCCCATCTATGATCTACCTATGTATTCGACCAAATTCAGATTACTCCTTCGATGTATCGATTTTCATGGCCAATTTCACAGCGGCTAAGGGTTCGATAAATCGATTTTCACGACCGATTTCACAGCGGTTAAGGGTTTGATAAATCGATTTTCACGGCCGATTTCATACCTGACCAGTCGCCTCGATCTCCGGTCTCCTCTCTGTCCGCGATTGTCGATTGAATTATTCAAAGATAGCTGATGAATCGGTTTCAAATATGCAACCACAACGGTCAGGTTTTAGATGATTTTTGTTAATTATAAGTACATGTTTGGTCGATTTGTTGATTACTCGTTATCTGATTGTTATTCGCTATTCTTAAATCTCATAATCTCAACAATTTATTGGTCGATTACTCGATTGTTTTTTGTTGATTTCATCCGTCAATCTGTCATCCGTGTTGGTCACTTGGTAACTTGGTTGGACTGTTGGTGAGTGAGCAATTGGTCGATTTAACCTAATTCCTATGATTATGATTTATTGATTTATCTGTCAATCTGTCATTTGTGTTCGCCTTTTGTCTGTATACACATTACACAGAAAATCCAACTGATACCTCAAAAGAGGAACTGAATTAGATTAGAAAATGAATAAGAAAATTTGTTAACAAATTGGATGATGTCATACCATATGAGGCCATTGTCTTGAAAGGTGTGGATGAATCACAAACAGTTTCCTTAATGCCACTATGCCAGTTTAGTGATGGAATTTGATCTTATGTGCTCTTGATGATTAATCTCCCTTAAAAGTTAAAACATGAAAGAACTGGAAAAAGGGTGTTAGGAAATATGTAGCAAATAACCAAAATCATAATAAACTCCACCAAATTCTGCCCTGTTCTAATTTCCCTAATTTTGTATATGATTCTACKATCCTACCAAAATATTTGCTGTTAGTGATCAACAAATGCATTCAGCTACGATAATKAAGTTAATTACGRATTTATGGTTATAAAAATACTTAAACACATAACTATTAGATGTTACATTGTTACTTTGTCTTGCTGTTTTTATTTATAAGACTTTYAATATAACATGAGCTTTTGTATTTAACTTTTGTTCGTTTTGTTTACCAATCTACTTATACTTTTTATAATAATCTAACAGGGCCTCCAAAAAGGTTAGGACGGCCCTGGGTAACATGATAGCATGAACTCGAAGTAGACCATAAATTTGACATATCCTCATCGAATGATATTGGGAAAGGAGTAAGAAAATTTGAAATTGAAGGTTACATTCTGATTGCATTTTACCACTTTCAAAATTTCAAACACCAATCGCACAGACACTCTTTCAATTGAAACCCCATGAATCTACTCTTGTGTTTAGGTTTTTCCTACGGAATTTTGGCAAGTTAACGAGGAAAAGAAGTCACGAGGAACTTGATTCGTAAGCAATTACAGGATGGGGAATGTGTTCGAGTCAGTCTTTTCAGGGATCGGGCATGTAATTGGAAGTTTATTCAGTTCTCGACTTGATTTTCTCTCCGGCAAGTCTTGCAGGTAAATCCATCATCTTTTCTACTACATCACATCTCTCTGTATCATTTAATCCTATGTGGTCTTATGATCAATCCGCTCTAATGTATTAGTTACCATACGTGATGGAGGGAGCACCATATGTTTGATGAATTGCTAGTGAGATGCATATCATTCTAACCTGATTTGTGAATTTAAATTCAATTTAATTGCTGAACTAATGTGTGGTTYTTGATTATCGATCAGCGTGGTGTGCGGTCYAACATGGGATTTGACTTGTTACATTGAAAATTTCTGCATTGAACATTTGCTGAAATTCTTCGCAGTTTCTTTGTTGTTCTACGTCGGTGAGTTAATTCAAAATTTTCAGGTAGCCAAATGCTAAGATTATGCATAAATTTCTCTGTCTACTTATACACATACTAGGCTAGGAATCAGGGGTGCTTTCTGAACCYTGCCGGGACACTGGATGTACTGTGTGCACATCCTATGCTGCATTGATCTATCCTCGGAAATCTTGATTTTTATGGCTATGAGAGAAAGTAGACAAGACATCATTAATAGGTTCTTTTTCTTCRATGGAGCACATTAAGCAAAAGGTAGAAASACGATAATACTTGAGYGTAAGTATATTCTATTTTATATTCGTGAATKGTAGGATAATGTCTTTCCTTAATTGTTTTYGTTTTGAGCAAATTCCATGAAGATATAAAGTACTTTAGTCTGGTTTCTATTTTGTGTTACATACTATTAAAACCTTTATTTTGGTACTTAAGATATGATATCAACATTAGAAGGAGCTGTTTGCCAAAGGCTAACCGGGCAAACACTTGCTACCTTATCGGGCGAACATGACAAGAACCGAGAATCTTACCCGGTAAGAGGCATGCCAAGGTCCGAGAATCTTACCCGGTAAGTGTTGGTGGTGACTCTTAAGAGACGCTTACCAACAATCTTACTATGCTATTTTGATGGCTGAGAATTTCCCCCGGTAAGATAGTGAGGGTGGTGGCTCTTACCCGCTACGTGCTTACCTGGTCATTGTTGGTAAACAACCCCTAAGTACGTTACACAAAATAGGAAGTGAACCGAAGGAAAAGCATCCTCATATTTAAATTAGGTACTTAAATGTTTGAGATGTCACGTTTGAGGTACCAAAATGAAATCTTGGAAGTATGATACATAAAATATGAATCATAACAACGTACATTGCTTTTTCATTCAATTTTCTGCTTTTGTTTGACTGGTATGCACACATAGACATAGATGTAGCTTGTGACTTTTAGAATTTCCATGCCCCAGTATCCCATATGTCATGCGCTTTATACCCCACACCTCAAATTCTTTCAGACACAACCTCTTCCTCTTGATGCAACTGAAAACATTTATGTACATGTTACCCCAGGCCTAAGTTTCGGGTGTATACACTGCGTTTGTTTGTTTTTTATATACATGTAGGGTTTAATGAAATTCTGAAGAAAAACCAGAAGTTGAAGGCAATCCCTTTTAACCCATATCTTGCTTTGTTTTCTTTGATATGTTTGCAGTTCTGCTATTGCTGTATTTGTTGTACAAGCTTGGGGTATGTCATTGCCTTTGTCGAAATTCGTGCAAAATGATTTGGGCATGCTTGTCGACAATTTTCTTAGGCTGGGTSCATGGATGCTATTGGCTATGTCGTATGCTGCGTAAGGTCAAACGTGAACGCARAAGACATCTGAGAGACATTGAAATGCTKGACATGAGTATCAGAAGTGATCAGGATACAGACATGGAAATAAGCAGCACTGGTAGATGGAGAAGGTCATCTTACCGACTACGAGACCACAAGCGAAATCATTTGAGAAGATCGTTAAGGCCTAGGAGCCACCGGGTTCGTCTAGGTGTTGATGGTGATTCGATTTAYGCCACAAAAAGAAAACACATCAGGCACGGTGATATTCGAGTTATTCAAACATCAAGCTTTGCGCGAAGGGGGAGAAATCACAAGAGATCAAGACATCTACAGAAGAGGACATGACGTTTTAACATCAAGTGATGTACATATGAATTAGCAAGTAAAAGTTGGCAAAATGGGAAACTGTGTGCTTCTCCCATACTTGTTACTATACACAACAAATATGAAAGCAAGATATGCTTCTTAGCCTTTGCTCAAACAATTAGTCCTTGAAACAGTTCCTACATTCACCTCGACTTCCATATCCTTTACAACATCCATATCTAAGATGTCATATATATTGATACATGTCATATAGAAACCTTTTATGTTATAAACCCTATGAACTAATTTAGACCACACATAAATAACTTCTATATTTATCGTAAGTAATTTATCTATCGCTTCCTAAAAACCTAATTTTCCTCATTTGATATCACTTGATTGGTGTAATGTTTCGTTGGTAAAATGACACTATATTCAAAGACATACCAACCTCATGTGTTTCATTGGTGAAACAACACAACACTGTACTATAAAACATATATCAACCCACAACATTGGTGAAACAACATTTTTGTTTCATTGGTGAAACATCATTGTTGTTGTTTCAAAAGCAAAACAAAAAATGAGTCTATAATAAAGATAACTAGTGCTCGGCACCGTGCGTTGCACGGTGATCATAACACATGTCAAGTAATATACAAAAAATTGTGAACCACATTAATATCCCTATACTTAAAAATTGAAAATACTAAATTTTCATAGTGCATTTATAACTCTTCCAATACTTCAAGGCATCCTTCTCGTTTCATGTACTTAACTATTTTTCAGTAATTTCTATTCTCATTAATATGGATTAAGATTCAAGTAAAATTCAACCACAATTAATGATTTAAAAATATTAAATTCTAATTTGTCAGATCAATATTTTATAGCATTATATATTAATTTAGTTAATTAATTAATTTAACTTTTAATAAGGATTTTTTTTTTGTAAAAAGATGATTAACCAAAAATCCTATGTTAGGAGACTCAGCCAAATAAGTTAAGCACTATGAGTTTAGAGAATCATTTAATGAGAGTCAGCCCTATAAATTGCCACATAGATATCTCAATCTTCCTTTATATATCTATCATACAGTGTCATTGTTTTATCTACCTATCAATATAGGATAGACAAAACTAATCACAATTCAAGATTAAATAATACTCGATCTTAGGGTGTCACATTGATGTTGTGGTTCTTATTTTTAAATATAGAAAGAATAAAGATTACCCTTCTTGCAAAAAGAGAGTTGGCCAAAATGAACCAACCCCATGTGTTCAGAGGGTTGACCATAATGCTCTAACCACAGGTGTTAAGAGAATCAACCAAGAGGAACCAACCTCATGAGTTGTCACAAAGGCATCTGGACCTTATTTTATATATCCAACATTTTTTGTCAATCTTTCAACTCTCAATCAGTGTGGGATATATAAAACTCAATTACAATTTAAGATTGAAAATATTCAATTATTAGGGTACCGCATCAACAGTTCCGCTTCTTACTTTCAAAAACAAATTAAAATTATCTCTTCAATTAATATTTAATATAGATTAATTTTGTCACAAATGAGTCAACCGTATATGTTTGTAAGTTCAGTCAAAATGATCCAACCACATGAGTTTAGACAATTGCTCGTGAGTTTAGACAATTGCTCCAAACATTTAAAGATAAACATGGCTTATATAGCCAAATAAACCTTTTAATTTTCAAAAGGAACTCATATTTATCTTATATACTCATTTTTCTCATTGACGTATCAATTTCTAATCAATGTGGATACCAAAATCCAACCACAATACAAGAATTTTAAAATATTTGGTTTTAATGATGCCACATTATTTTCTAGCTTTCTTTTGTATTGATATATTGATTTTTTTTATATAGACAACTTTTTTGCAAATAGAGGGTTTGTCAAAATGAACAAACCCCATGAATTAGAAGGTTAACCAACATGAACCAGTGATATGAGTTTATAAGATTAGCCAAGAGAACCCAATCCCATGAGTCAAAATAAAGACACATCAACCTCCTCTTATGTACCTACCTTTAATTGTCGATCGTTCATCTCTCTATTAATGTGGGATACGCAAACTCAACCTTAATGCAAGAAATATATAATACTCAATTTCTTAGGGTGACACATCATTTCTTGTAAATCTTACTTATTTATAGAGAGAGCCCTATATATATAAAGATTTTATATAAATGTGACCATTTTTCAAACAAAGGGTTGGCCAAAATAAACCAACCACATGAGTTTGGAGGGTTAGCCAATATGAGCTAATAATATGAGTTTATAGGATTAGCCAAGAGAATCAAACCCCATGAGTTAAAATAAAGACATATCAACCTCATTTCATATACCTACCATCAATTGACAATCTTTCATCTCTCCATCAATGTGGGATGCACAAAACTCAACCTCTATGCAAGAAATATAGAATACTCAATTCTTAAGGTGCCAAATCATTTCTTGTGGATCTTACTTTTATATGTAAAGAAAATTGAACATATACATACATATATATATATATATATAGAGGTTGGTTATTATACAACCCTTGACATTCGTACAACCAATACAACCCAATTTCAACCGTCCATTTCATTTGATTAATATGTGATTTTGATTGTTTCCTAATATAAAGTATTGATCATAATTAATGAACCATATTCATCTTCCACAAATATTCAAATCATAATAAATGAACTCTTATCATTTCCATAAATATCTCAATTTATTGGGTTGCATTGGTTGTACAAATGCGATGAGTTGTATTTGACACAAACTCTCTCTCTCTCTCTCTCTCTCTCTATATATATATATATATATATATATATTGATGATTGTAAACACAATTTATTTTTATATAATAAGATTTATTTTGCAATCAATTCTTATGAGTGACATATCATTTTTTGTGAATCTTACTTATTTATAGAGAGAGCCCTATATATATAAAGATTTTATATAAAGGTGACTTTTTTGCAAACAATATGAGTTTATAGGATTAGCCAAGTGAATCAAACCCCATGGGTTAAAATAAAGACACATCAACCTCATCTCATACACCTCTCCATCAATGTGGAATACACAAAACTCAACCTCTATGCATGCAAGAAATATAGAATACTCAATTCTTAGGGTGCCAAATCATTTCTTGTGGATCTTACTTTTTGATGTAAAGAAGATTGAACATATACATACATACATACATACATACATACATACATACATACATACATACATACATACATACATATATTGATGATTGTAAACACAATTGCTAATTTTATATAATAAGATTTATTTTGCAAAAGAGAGTCATCCAAATAAGTTAACTTTATGAGTTAACCCTCTTGAGCTAACACAATGAATTTCGTTCTTTTTTTTCTTATACACATCTATTTATTCCAATCTTCAATCTTTTATCAAAGTGGGATATCTCAAACTCAACCACAATTCGCCAACACTTCAATACTTAATTCTCATGATACACCTAATTACCTCTTGGTTCTTCTTTTAATATATATATATATATATATATAATAAAATTTGTTTTGAAAAAATAGGGTCATCCAAATAAGATAACCTTATAACTCAAGTCTCATGAGTTAAGACAATATAAAATTTGTTTTAAAAAAGTAGGGTCATCTAAGATAACCTTATGAGTTATGCCTTATGAGTTAAAACAATGACTCTCGTCATTCTTTCTTATACACACCTTCTTATTTAAATATTTCAATCTCTCACCAATGTGGGATACCTCAAACTCAACCACAATTCATCAACACCTCAATACTCAATTCTCATGATGCCACCTCAATACTCTTGGTTCTTCCTTTAATATATATATTCACCAACACCTCAATACTCAATTCTCATGATGCCACCTCAATACTCTTGGTTCTTCCTTTACTATATATATAGATAGATTATGGAAGTTAAATATGAGTGGTCCGTATTGGTTCATAGAACTTATAACTCATATGCGGATTCTATTTGATTTTCCCCCTTACATACATACATACATACATACATACATACATACATACATACATACATACATACATACATACATACATACATACATACATACATACATACATACNATACATACATACATACATACATACATACATACATACATACATACATACATACATACATACATACATACATACATACATACATACATACATACATATAGAGAAAGAGAAAAGGGGGGAGGATAAAACGATAATGATATCTATTTAAAAAATAAGAAAATAATTTTGGACCAATCTAGGGGTGTAAATGATGCGAGTCGAGCTCGAGTATTAGTATACTCGACTCAAACTCGATTGGAATTTTTTCAACTCAAACTCGAACTCGATTGCAATTTTTTAAACTTGAACTCGAGGTCGAACTCGTTTGAAGCTCGGACCAAGCTCGAACTCATACTCGATTTAAACTCGAACTAGAACTTGAATCAAGCTCGAACTCGAACTCGAACTCTAATCAAGCTCACCCGTTGAAATTTATGAAATTTTAAGGTCTTCTCTTATAAATTATAAAACTTACAGACTTTTCTCCAATTCAGAAATCTTTTCTTTCAGCTCCTTATTCTCCTTTTCAAGATAAACTGCCATTTAAAAATCAAAAAATCAGCGAAAACAGTCAAAAATCAGTAAAAATAGTCAAAAACTGTTGAAAACAGTTAAAATCAGTCAAAAACAGTTAAAATTGATTAAAAACAGTTTACGCGACACAAAACAATTCAAAATTTTCAAAAACAGTTCAACACAAATCAAAGCAGTTCAAATCAGTCAATGTCTAAAAAAAATCAGTAAAAACAATGAAAACAGATAAAATCTTGAAAAACCAAAGAAATGTGATTCAAAAATAAAATCTAGAAAAAAAATAAAAAAAGTCAAGAATGGAAGATTGTTGGGCCAAAAAAAATGAAAACAGGATGGGCAAAAAAAATAAGGTTGGGCTTGAAAAAAAAAGCCCAAAATAAAATCAACCTATGTGATTTTGGATTGAACAAG